TATATTTATGAAGTTCAAGTACACTGTTTTTCATACAAGATCCTTCCCATTTCCTTTACTCATCCGCCCATCAAATTGTGCAACCCTATGATTTACATTCCCCTCGCATCCTCTTCCCTCAGCTTCCACCACCCCAACTTGGATCCTCATATTCATTCTACAATAATGATTGTATACAGTATTTATTGTTGTGAGACTGAGGTCATTCACTCAGCATAATGCTCTCCAGTCCTTCCCCAGTTAGGTAGTAATTTATAAAATCCCTGCTCCTGCATGCTGTGTAGTATTCCATTGTATGAAGGTAAGAAGATGGTAAATTTAGAGGACTAAAGGCATATGGAAGTTCTCTATATTTCTGCAACTTTTCTAAAAATCTAAAATTATTACAAAATATTTAAGAAATAAAATTAAGAAGGAAACAGTACTTCACAACTAAAACAATATTTACCTTTACCTTATGGCAGGTGAGTGGGAAGTGTGATCTTAGGTAGTCTCTTGTGCCATGTGTAATTCTATAATCCTTCCTTATTAGAAATTAAACATACATCAAATCAATTATCAATTAAGTAACAAGTTGGATAACCATTATAGGTACTAATTGACTCCTCCAAGGTTCTTTGAAGCTTACTTAGTTTCTTATTTCTTGTTTTGGCTTCAGCAACTCATTGCTTATGTTAATTAAATACTTTAAGTGTGCCAGGTTAATGGGAACAAAATACATTCAGTTGCAAAGCTCTTCCTGCCTAATATTCTAGCATAGTCCAGATATACAAGAGGATTAGTATTATACTGATCAGTGAAAAACAGAATTTAAGGTTCAGAAACAGTGGCTATAATACAGTAGAATTTTACCTAGTGAAATATTGTTTGTTACTGTGTACCAGTGAATCAGAACCAACCTATAACTGACACTCCAGGGGTTTTAAAGAGGCAATAAATCACATAGGGAGAGATTGTCCATCTTTGTCTCATATTGCTGCTGGTGGATTCAAACCATATGCCTTCAGGTTGGCAGCACAACTCCTTACCACTAAGCCACGAGAGTTTCCTACTTAGTGTAGTAAGATGGAATGAATCTACATCATAGGGGAAAAGTAGAGAAGGCCAGCAAAATAGAAGAAGACCTCCAATGAGGTAGATAACACAGTGGCTGCAACAATGGGTATGAGCATGACAGAGATAATGAAGAATAGGGCAAGGTTTTGATCTGCTATTCATAAGGTCACAATGAGTTGTAGTTGGCTTGACAGTACCTAACAAAAACAATCTTACTCAGGCAAAAAGCATGCTTGCTCTTATTATAACTGAATATGTCTAGGGAAAGTCATTATACACCTATTTGTCTGGTTTTGTAACTTTTCTTAAGCTTTCTTCCCTCTATGCCTTCTCTCGAGCATTCTCATGCTGGTATATGTGGAGTTTCCACATGCTGTTGGTTCACAAGGTGACACATGTACTAGAGTGAAAAAAAAAATATGTTCAATTTGTTAATTAAGAAAAGTGCTCCAAAAAAAAAATTAAAAAAAGAAAAGTGCTCCCAAAGTGGAGAAGATCAGAATGCACTGATGGGTTGAAGCGTACTATGAAAGTCTTAGAATTGCTTGTTAATGCATTTAGATTTTTCCATATGGATGGCCTCATATTCAGTTACACTTAAAACGTGTAGGACACATTTTAAATATATCTGTTTATAGATTATTTTCCTTTTCTGTTCTACCACACAAGCTCCCTTTAAAAAAAATGAATATTGTTCTTACAATAGCAGACTCTATGATAACGATGACAAATGTTTAGTTGATTTCCCCTAAGGCATATATTTAATTGTCATTTAAAATTTTTCCAAACCATAGTAGGTGAATTCTGAAAACAGTTATAGTCTCCTTCTTTTTGATCATTTTAGAGGCATAGGTTCTATGGCACATCCTCAAATCACTCCATTTAGAGAAAATGCTCGGTTAGCTTCACAGCTAAACATTAATTTCATTGTAAGAAAAATCATAATTATGGGCCTATGTTGCACAATGAGTTAGTAAATACAACTCCGTTAAAGTAGGATAATGATACAAATCCAGCCTATGTAAAAGGAGAATCTGGCTAGTACCAAACAAGCAAAAAATTCCTCATCTGATACACATAGATTCAATTAGGTTTAAATTACTAACTAACTTCATATTTCATATACTGATAAGTTTGGCACATTACATCATCTACTACATTTAGACTGTCTCAAGTGTAGCCATGGCAACTCTTACATAAAACATAGCTGGGTTTGTAATTTCACTCCAAATTAAATGAAAATAAAGCTAATCCTATTATTGTTCTTAACAATTTTCCAAATAGCTTCTTCTTAGAGTGCCCTTGCTTGTGTGTTCTGTCTTTTAAAAATAGATTATTGGAAAATTATATGTGTTTGTGCACTCACTCCACTCTCAGCCATTAACACTGCTCTCCTCCCTCAGAGGCATAACCTTGTGCTTCCAAATAGGTTATATCCACCTACAATGCTACTTAGTATTTTTCTTGCAATTCAGAGTCGGGTAAATCTTTCAAATATACCAATTTGGACTATTAAACATTTCAAATACTGTCACTTCAAAATTACTCCAAAATAATAGTCTTTTAAAGATAAGTCATATTACACATGTATATATATCTTTAAAAGGTCACTTCAAGTTATCCTAGTTTGTATTAACTGTGATAGAGAACATTTCAATAGTTATTTGAAAAATCTTTTTCTTTTCATCTTTAGTTTTAAAGTAACCCAAATTTGAACCTTCTATTTAAACCAGTTCCACATCCATGCAAAGACCCTTATTTCTTTAATCGTGAGAAGCACTAAATGTCCTGCAAAAAAAAAAGAGAGAATATTTTGGTTGAATTTTGGGTTTGGGGGAGTGTGAGGGTGTCTGTGTCTGTGTGTGTTTTTTCATTCCCTGCCTCTGTTAATGCGGTATATATGCTGAATTCCTTTCCAAGTGATTTATCTTCTCTCTGCTATTTAAGGGTTCAAAACTATAGCGTCAAATCTGACATTCTAAAGGAGTCAAAAGTTCTTTCCTGGCACAGCATTAAGCCTCAAACTTGGATTGTACCTTAAGGAGGATTATAGAAATTGTACTTTTAAGTTCAGAGGTATAGAATATGTACTGTAGCTCCACCAAGTAATAATAAGCTTTGGTATTGCTTATCTTTTGGGTTGCTTATCTCCTTCATCAGTAAATCACTCAATTATATACTCATTCCTGGTGCTTCAGAACTTCCAAGGCTGTAAATGGCACAATAAGATTGCCTGTCCCACAGAACTACTCGTGGGTTTGGACAGACAGAGAGGTGCATCTTTGAGTTAGCAATACAACTCCCTGTGGACTAGACTATGTGGGTAGTTAAGGTGCTGAGAGAACAGAACTTGTATTGGAATGTAGATCACTAAACTCTTAGATGAATATTTTTTTAGTATACACTTGATATTTAGTGTGAGACATGTACTACTCAATAGTCTTAGTCTTACTAGACATTTAAAAATAACGTTTAAAATAAAGCAAAAATTAAAGGGAAAAATAATTTATTAAAAAATACAATCCTTTACGCTTTGAGTTTTGGAAGATAAAATAATTGTCATAATCATATACAGAATATGTTTCACAAACAAAACTTTAATAATTCTATAGAAATATTAGAACAAATCATTTTATATTCTCCTCTCCCTATGTGTAAATAACCATTCTTCATGTTGCACCAGTATTTGACTTTAAAAAACTTCCCTCTTCCTTTACATTAATATTATGTATATTAGCAGATATTCATAGAGTTGTGATGATGCCTAATAATAACTATCCCCACACATATTCATACATACATTTATATCAACATTTTCTCATACTTCAGGATCAGAGCAGATAATTAATATAGTTTCTAAAATGATGAGAAGTTAAATAATTTCCAATAACTCAATCCACTACAAATTACTTGGAGGAAAGAAATAAGCATTTAGCTATTTTTAAAAAAAAAATTCTTCCTTTAAGTTTCATTTACAGGCATAGCTAAAGCTGTTCCTTGAAATCAAAATAGTCAAACCTAAATAGACTATAATTAATTAGATCTTGTGTTTTGACTCTATTAGCATACAGACCAGAGAACTGATCATCTGTTAATCTACTTTTTGCATATAAAAAACTAGTCTTAATGTTACCTCAAGCTGCCTTTAACATTCTTCTAGTCAAAGCTACATAGTGGTTATATGGTTAGGTACCATATTCAAGGATAAGATATATATGAGCATGCGTGTGTACCAGTGTCTGTAGAAATTTGATAATACAAAATACTAAGTCAAAAGAATGTGTTTACAATGATTAGCTTCAGACCAAATTAAAAACCAATTTAGCTCCCTTTCCTGTTTTGTTTTAAAAGAAACCAACATGAGGGGATACCAGGCACATTAGATATATATTTGAGGGAGACTGGAGCAAGACTCAGGTGAGAATGAGACCCTGGTGATGAGACCTGGGTGATGGTGGTGGAGAGACTCTGGCATTGCTGTGGTGAAACTGTGGCAAGGTGTAACCAGGGAAGCCCTGAGATAAAGGTCACAGTTAAAGGTTTTGTTGTTCTTGCCACATGATGTAAGAAAAAAGCAGATCGTGGACTAAATGAGGAAATGTGCCTTGAATAAAAGAGTATAAAAGAAAGTCCTTAGAAAAGATTTCTGCTCAAAATGATCAGCCCCAAATCAAATCCAAATCTAATTTAGCTACATCTTTTGCTCTGCTTAAAGGAATCCAAAATAAGGAAACACTAAGTACATCAGGTGCAGGTAACCTCTTCAACTCCAAATATCAACACAAAGACATCTCAGAAACTTTGAAATGTCACATTAGCATGACATTGTAATAGCCAAAGTAAGAAAATCATAAAGGAACATTAATGTTTGACAATGACTATCCAATGAAAGACATTTTTTAAAAAATTGTGCAGGTAAATAGGGCACAGACATCAAGACTTACCATATTGATGGTGCTTCTGTTCCACTGATCTCTAAGAAATCATATCCTTCTTCTAGTTGAAAGTCAGTAAAGACTAAAGCAATGGTGTCCCCTGGTTCAGCCAGAATGGTCCATGTACAGTCAGCATTGTTCTCATATTCTGAAGGAAAGTGAGGACTGGAAATGGTACTGCTTGTTCCACGCAAGGTCCCTCCACAAGCCCCCTCAGCTGGTAGAAACAGAAACAAAAGGAAAAGAGAATTTATTTACTGGGTTTTTTTAATCCATAAGTACACGTGCAAAATGTCATTTTTGAACAGTGACAAATATTTTCTAAATTAAAGATCAAGACACTTGATCTGACAATTATTTCAAATTTATTAATATAATTATATATAAGACTTAGAAAAGTTTACCAATTAAGTAATATTTAATTAAATTTTGAATTGATTACAACTAGTTTCAATTAATTAAAATTTGGATGAATTACAATTGTTAAAAGTAATGATAATCATGGTGTTTCTAAAATCTGGACCGTGTAATTACCATATAGTTAATATTCATGGAATATGTAATAGTATTTTTAAAGATTTTTAATCAGTATATTGCAAGATGAAAATAATCAGCAAAGTAAAGACACATAAAAGCAAATTTTAAAATCATAGCAAAAGATAATTTGACTACATACTCCAGAGCAAGATGGTATGGAGTGAGTTACTCTTTCAATATGGCTTTTCTAGCATTAGTGGATGACTGGTCATGTTTATGGGCAGAACTATGTGAATGGGCCATGTTGGCTTATTCACAAAGGGTTTGGCTATCTACCATTCCACAAGCAGATTGCTCAGTCTCAACAATCTATATGATGATTGACTGATTTCACCAATAAACTAAACACCTTTAGCCACAGAAGTGGAATCTTTACCTGTCAGAGAGCTTCCCTACCTTGGTGAAGAGAAGGCAGGGAAGTGTAGGACATGCTTAGAGAAAGGAGCAGCCCATGGTCAAACTGGAAATGTGAGGTAAAATGAGATGAAACCTTGGGGGCAGAGAGGAAGCCAGTATTTGCAAGACTGAGAACTTTGTTGAACAATTGTGGGTAGGGGTGTGTAAAAGCCCCCATTGGCAGAATTTAAAACTTTGTTGAATATTTGGCGAGAAGGAGCCAATATTGGCAGGACTGAGAACTTAGGACCAATGGCCTGGAACCACACAGGCTTGAGGCTGAGGTACCTGTGTTCACATTTCAGGAGCTGTCTTGACTATATTCTGTTATGAATCTGAATTATAAACTTTTGACTTCCCCTATATGGTTCTGTGGTCACCACATGGGATATTTTTGTTGTTGTTGTTAAGTGTTGTCAAGTCGTAGACGACTCACAGAGACCTTATGAACGAAAGACCTGAGCACTGTTTATAAAGTTTCCAGAGGCAAGCCATTTTGGAAGTGGATGCCACTCCTATTTCCAAGATTGTTTTAATAGGTAAGCTCCACCAAACACTGTCCACCAGAGGTAACCATTATCGCATTTGGCACACCAGTGTCACAGTGTTTAGCATCACAGCAACCATGAGTTACCTCTGTACAGCAATGCACAGACCAGTGCTATACCATGTAGAGGAATGTCTGACAAACAAACAAACAAACAACAATTTAAACCAGGCCTGAGTGCTGCAGATTAAAATCACCCAACTTGGGCTTGGTAGCATAATTTTCTGTTATCTAGGCCAATGTATGGGAGCTTAGGGAGCATATCTGATCTCACAGGATTTGGTTTTGTGTTACTGATGATGTGCATGGGGACAGTTCTCCTTTCTGAAGTTGATAAAGGTCAGACACGGCTATCTCCACATAGTCCTTGCTCTTTTTATGTATGGTCAGGCCATCTTGGCCTACTTCCACTCTTCCTTAACTACACATACACTTGTGGTCAATCATAGTACTAGTGTCATATCTTTTCTACTGGATCTTTTTCCATTTAAGGGATAAACTAAAAACTCATTGTGCCCTAGTCTGAACTGACTCATAGCTGGCCTTCCAGTGGATTTTCAGGAGGCTACAAATCACATTTTATTTTCTCAAGCTGCCCTTTGAAAGCTTTTGTTCGGCTCTTACTTTAGATTGTTTTGACTTCCCAACATTCTAGCATAAATTTTTAGTCTCTTCTGACATCCGTTTAGATTTTTTCTTTTTCTTCTTGTCATGACCTTTTGCTTTCTTTATACATGATATCCTTAATATCATCCCACAAATCATCTGTTCTTTGATAACTAGTGCACCTAATTAAAATAAAATAGATTCAACATCATATTGTTCTCATGAACTTATTTTCCTTTTCTTCAGCCTCAATTTGAACTTACATAGGTGTAATTGACGATCTAACCCTCAGTCCTCCAAAGGACTAGTTTAGACCGAAGATATTGAGCTTCTCTGACAATTCCTTCCACAGATGTAGTCATTCTGACTCCTATGCAGCCCATCAGGTGAGGCCTATGTATAAAGTCACCATGTGTGTCTTTCTAAAAAGGCATTTGCAATGAATAAATCATCGAAAAAACAAAATTTGATCGTTTTATTTCAAGCTTTATTTCTATCACCAAACTCATATTTTCCAACTACTATTTCTCTTTTACCATTTCCAACTTTTGCATTCCAATAACCAATTATTATTAACACATCTTGATTGCATGTTTGGTCAATTTCAGACTGCAAGACTTGGTAAAAATCTACAATATGTTTCTCTTTGGCACTAGATGTAGGAGTATATGTTTGAAAAATAGTCATATCAATTGGTATTCCCTATATGTGTATGGATAATATTCTATCACTCACAACATTGTATTTCACGATAGAACTTGAAATTGACATTTTGACTATGAATGCAACACCATTCTTCTTCTGTTTTTCATTCTCAACATATTATATCATAATATATTTGATTCAAAGTGGCCAAAGCTAATTGCTCTCATCTCATTAGTGCCTAGCATGTGGATGTTTATGAGTTCCATTTCATTTTTCACAATTTCTGGTTTTCCAACTTTCAAACTATATACGCTCCATGTTCTAATTATTAAACAATGCTTGCCATTATTTTTCCTCCTTTCAACTGACTTCTAATCTGGACTCTACTACTACCACTACTACTGCTACTGCTACTGCTACTACTACTACTGCTACTACTACTACTACTACTACTACTACTACTACTACTACTACTACTAGAACTATCTATGTTCTTCTACTGTTCATAGGATTTTAAGAAACCTGTTATTAAGAAGTGGTTGGCCATTCCTCCTTCCTAGTCTACCTTAATCTGAGATCTCTACTAAACCTTATTCACCATGGGCAACTCTTGTAGCATTAGACACATCAGTGTTATAGCTTTCAGTATCGCAGCAATCTACAAGTTATCCAGTACAGCAAACTGATGGACAAGTGCTGCACTGATTAGAACAATATTCTTCCAAACACAACAAACTGAAAATTTAGTATGTAACTCTAATAGCAAAACAGTCTTCACACTGATTGATCATTTGCTATGCATCTGAGAGCTGGACAATGAATAAGGATAAAATATGTGGAATTTATGCCTTTGAAGTATGGTGTCAGAGGAGAGTACTGAATATCCTATGGACTGCCAAAAGAACAAACATATCAAACAAACAAACAAACATCTCAGAGAGGGTGCAGACAGAGTGTTATTTGCAGGCAATGATGAGGAGCTTTTACCTCACATACATCAGGCATATTGCTAAGAGGGCCTATTCCTTGAAAAGAGACATGATACTTGGAAATAGAGGTTCAGTGAAGGAGAAGACAACCCTCTACCATGTGGATCAACACAGTGACTGCCACAATTGGCTCTAATGTGTCAGGAAGTGTGAGGATGGCACAGGAGAAGAAAGAGTTCAGATCTGTTGTTCATAGGGTCACTATGGGTTGTATTCAACTCTATGGCATCTAACAACAACAAATTAATAGGTGATAGCCCATCTTTCTCCCAAGGGGTGACTGGTATATTCAAATTGCAGAAGAGGCGGCACCTTTCGGTTAGCTGTTCAACTTTCTACTGAATAAATCATCATAGCTCCCTCAATCTTTATAAATTCACTTATTTGCGCACAATCCCTATTCCCCAAAATGTGTTATTATATATAGTAAACCAACCTTACCTTTTGAAACTGGCAGCTTCAGAGATTGAGCATCACTCATGGTTTCAAAGATTTTAAAATGTGTATAATTATAAATTAATAGCCTAAAAAATATCTCTATGTTCTAGGAGAATACCTCACTCAAACTCATTGTTGTTAGTTGGGACCAACTCATAGGAGACCTTCCAGCAGGTTTTTATAGGCTCCAAAATAGCATCGGTGGAGATTAGACACCATTCTCCTACGGAGTTACCGGTGAGTTGGAAGTTGCAGAGAGGCAGAGTCTTTGGGTTAGCAAAGTGAAATTTTCTATGGACGATTCCAAAGATGACTTGTATTCCCCCAAAATATATGTCACCTTGGCTATGTAGCTATTCTCAGTATTATGCAATTATCTTCCATTGTAAGACCTTGTCAGCTTTGAGTCAGACAACAACAACATAGTAAATATTAACCTTTACATTTTCACTTTAAAGACAAAGATGTGCTTGGTCCAAGTGATGGTATCTTAAATTGCTTCATACACATGTATAAGTTGGACAGCAAGAAAGGAAGAAATTATGCCTTTGAAATGTGGTGTTGGTGACTACTATTGAATACCCTATGAACGACCAAAAGAACAAGCCCATTTTTGTCTTGGAAGAAATGCAGCCATTATATTCTTAAGAGCCAAGAATGGCTAGGCATTTTCTTACATACTTTGGTCATTTTATCAGAAGAGGCCTTTCTTGGAGAAGGATATTAAGCCGGGGAAAGCATATCATTGAAAGAGAAAAAGATACTGAGTAAGAGAGATCTTAGGAAAGATTCAGTGGGGATCTGAAAACATGGGGTAATAGTGGGCATAGATCAATGATGATTAATTTTATAAGATGCAATGTACTGGAATAATTGCAAGAAACACAATGTGAATTAAAAAAATGATACAGTGACTGAAATAATGGTCTTAAGTATACTCAAATGTGAGGATGATACAGAATTGGAAAGAGTTTCATTATATTGTATATTTGAGTTGGAGCTGACTTAACAGCACCAAACATGATGCTAATGAGGCAGATTATGTTATGTTACTGATCA